TGTGTTAATGTTTATTTTTGAGAGAGAGACAGAGAAAGACAGAGCGTGAGCAGGGGAGGGGCAGGGAGAGAGGGAGACACAGAATGCAAAGCAGCTCCAGGCTCCAAGCCGTCAGCACAGAGCCCGACGCGGGGCTCGAGCCCATGAACCGCGAGATCATGACCTGAGTTGACTGAGCCCCCCAGGCATCCCTCTCTGGTGTGTTTTGGATATTCTCCCACAAGAAGAATTTTCTGACTGAAACAGAAGCCAGTTTAGATTGAACAGGGGTTCCGTTCTTCTGAGCCCGAGATAATAGTGTGGGAAGAGACGGGGTGGAGATCGAGAGGCAGGGAGAGAGAGGGAGGGACTACACATAAGGAAATGCTTTTTGGCTCTACCTGATCTCTAGCGGTCTCGAATTCTGATGTGGAGAATATCCCTGATGACGAATGGTTGAGTGGGCTCAAGGCTTGCTCTTCAGTATCTCGGGCTGAAGTCACTTTACAGGAACGGAAGTGACATTGTAATCGGGACCTGGGTCCTCGCCCCTAATGGGACCTCAGTAGGTATTTTCGGGTGAACACATTAACCAAGAAAGGAATGTCATCGATGAATTTTGCAAAGCCGTTCAAGAAGAGGGGTCCTTGAAGGAGAAGAGAAGATTTTAGGGTTCATCCTGCTCCCTTGGATGTCAGAAGAGTAAACAGTGGAGACTGCAGAACTTTCTCTCACCTAAAGACGTTATATACGCTGGGAGAAAATTCCGGAAGGACTACATCAGTCAGCTATTGCTACAATAATGCTGCGTAACAAAGCGCCCCAAAACTCAATGGCTCAAAACAAGCATTTACTTTTCCTGCGTGCAGGTGGTGGGTTGGCCGGGGAGACTCTGTCTTAGGCTGTGGATGGCAGGGTGGTTGGGGTCTGGGTCGGGCCCAGTGTGTCTCATGCTCCCTGGGCCGGTGGCTCCCCAGAGCCGGTCTCCATGGTCCGGACAGACACACAGAAGACAAGCACACGACCGGGGCCAACTGAGGCACCTGCGGGCATGGCGTCTGCTCGTGTCCCGTCGGCCACAGCGGGTCCCAGCGGGCAAGGCTGAAGCGGGCGGGGCAGGGAGGAGGTGAGTGAGCGCCCAGAGCAGTGTCCGGTCTCCCACAGATCCGCCCACACAGTTAATACTGGCCGCCCCAGCATTTCTGCAGCGCGTTCACTTTCTTCCTCTTCCTTTCTCAGCGTTCTTTCCCCCACCCCCAAAGTAAGTAGATAGATATTACCTGCTTCCATTTTAAAAAGCAGAGTGTTTTTTCCTCTGGAAATCTCCCGAGTGTGGAGACAGGCTGTCTGTGTCGGGCCACCCGGAGTCTGGGGACGACAGACCCGCAGCGAGCTCGCTGCCCCGGCCCCCGCCCCGCCTCGCCAGTCACGCGCACTCTTTCTGAGGCTCCGGCCTTGCGATTCTGTGACTGTCGTCTCACACGAAAGTCCCGGAAGGTTGCCGTTTGCTGTGGGAAGCAGAAGTATCCCCTCTTCTCCCAAACCAGAACCGTCAGAGACACAAGGAGGACCCTGGTCACAAGATGGCCCCGCGTCACCAAGACCCCTTCTGTCACTCAGGGACTGTAGCCGGAGAGGGTGGGACAATGAGGACAGTGCCTGAACACCGCTGTTTGGGGGAAGTAGAAACACGATCGTGTTGTAAGACCAGGTGGGGAATGTCACACACCAACGCAGGATGAGAAGCCCCTCACCCTGACCAGAGGACCTGGCGGGGAGGAGCGTGCACCCCCTGGACGGTGGCAGGAGGTTGCCAGCTGGAGGGGAGGAGGAACACAGTGTGTCTGGGAGAGCCAGCGGGTGTGCCCCGGGTGGGCGCACTTGCCTGAGCGCCTGAGCCCGTGGGCTCCACGCCCCTCGCACCAGGGTGGGGGGTTGCAGGGGGAGGTCACCAGCCAGCTGTCCAGATCGAGCCTGCTCAATACGCCGTCCCAGCCCCGCTTGTAACTGGACACGTGAGTGATTCTCACCGAGCCCCTGAGTATACTCAGAACAAACGAGATGATAAAGAAATGGACGTTTAGCTCCTTAAGAGAGAAATGACTCTAACGTTACTTTAGCAGTTATGTCATATAGATTAGTATATCTAGTATGTTTGTGAGCATGTGGACCTATTCGCCTATGTGTACCTGCATATCTGTTGCTGTGTAACAGCCCCAAAAGGTGGCGACTCAAGGAAACTATAACCACGATTACCTCTCCGAGTTGCCGTGGGTCAGGACGTGCGGGGTTCCGGCTTGGGCTCGCCCGTGGCGTTGTCGTCAGATGCCGTGGGGGGCTGCCGTCGTCTGAAAGCTTCAGTGGGACTGGAAAGTGGCTCCCTCACGTGGCTGGCAAGGTGGTGCTGTCTATTGGCTGGTGGGGGGGGGGCAGGCCTCGGCTCCCCTCCCAGGGGGCTGGTTGGGTGTCCTCACAACATGGCGGCCGGCTTCTCCAGAGCAAGGGACGCGAGAGAGCAAGATAGAAGCTGCAGTGCGTCTTCTGAGCCAGCTTGGGAGTCACCTCTGCCGCCTCATGTTGGTCACGCGGGGCCACCCAGATTCGGTGTGTGGGGGGCAGCTGTGCAAGGCAGGAGGGACTCTCGGGAGCTGGTTCCCACTGTACCTGCACCCAGCTCACTCTGCTTGCTGTCTGTTCCAGCTGGCCGCCTTTCGCACGCTCCTGTTTTCTGCGCCTGGTGAGGAAGAGAAGGCCATGGTGAACAACTACCGTCCACTTCAAGCCCTGATGAACCGGAAGGTCCGTTCATCCTTCCGGCCTATGGAAGAGGGCATGAGATTCTAAATGCATTGTATGCGAGTCAGCGGGTAGAACTGACTTTTAAAAGAGGAAGTTCTGTGTCCCAAGCTTCACAGTCTGATCAGACCTAACCTCTGACGTTAAAAAGAGAGAAAGAGATCATTGTCTCAGTCAATGGACTTTTCAGTTGCAAGGAAAAGAAAGCACTTCAAAGAAACTTAAGCATGGTGAGGAATGGAAATCTGGGACGCGGGGTATCTTGGGGCCCCACGGCAGAGCCCTAGCAAGCACCCGCTGACTGAGGTCACCCACCCAGCCCCTGGCGGTCTGTGCTTTCTTCTCTCTGCTTCTCCTCACTCATGGCCACCCCGTGCTTCCCGGGCGACGCAGAGACTGGGCCCCACGTGCGTCTTTCCCACCTCCGGATTCCTGGGTTGTGTCAGTGTCCTGGGGCTGCTGCGGCAAATGACCACAAACCGGAGGGGCTAGAACAACAGACATGTGTAGCCCCTCAGTTCTGGAGGCGAGAAGCCCACATTCCAGGCGCGGGCGGGCCTGGCCCGCCTCCCAGAAGCTGCCCATCTTCCTCGGCCCGCAGCCCCACCTCCACCTTCAGAGCAAGGGCTGTCCAAGGTGGCTGTTCAGCGCCCGCTGCCGCCTCACGGCCTTTCTGGAAGGTATGTAACGGTTTCTCCCTGTGGGGTTTTGGGTTTTAATTGTACTGAAACACAATTACATAAGTGACCGTCTTACCCACATTTAAGCGAACAGTTCTGTGCTGTGCGGTGCCTTCGCGAGGTCGTACAGCCGTCCCCACCACCCGTCCCCATCTGTACATCTTACAAGACTGGAGCTCTGCCCCTGGGACACACTCCCCCCACCCCCAGCCCCTGGCAGCCACCGGTCCGGTGTCCGTCCGTCCGTCCGTCCCTGGGATTTTGACGGCTCCAGGAATAAAGTATAAATGGAATCCTATAGTGTCTGTCCTTCTGTGACCGGCTTCCTTCGCTGAGCGTGATGCCCACAACGTCCACTCGTCTCAAAGCACGTATCGACTGTTCCTTTAGCAGCCTCCTGATCGATAATGGTATTTGTGTTTCCGGAGCATCACAGATATGTCCCTCTGGTGGGGACGCACCTGTGCGGACGGCCCAGTCTCGGCACCCTCCGACACGCCATTGCTGGCAGCTGCGGTGACGCACAGACGGACAGACACGTGCTGGGCCGTCTGCTGAGGTGCGGCAGTAAACTGCGATTCATTTTAGGGAGATGAAGAATAAATAGACTGACGATGGTCCACAAATAGCATCTGAAATCACAGGGAAGCTATGACACGGATGTGGTTTGTTTTGGCAGAGATGGACATTTCCCCCAACCTCAGAGCTTCCCGTGAAGTTCCGTGCCGCGGGGCCACAGTTTACGGCCTGGTTCGGGCTCCACCAGGTTCTGGCACCCGCCCCAGAGAGAGCAGTCCTACACTCCCTGCCACACGCTCCTCCCTCGTGACGCCCGGGAGGTGCCAGGCAGAGGCGACGGCACGAGGTGGGGCTGTCAGCCTGGGCACAGAGCTGGATGGGGGGGGCGGCTCCAGATGGACGGTCCGGGAGGGAAGAGGACGGTTTGAAGTTTGGTTTGGTCCCAACACGCTTCTTGTCTCCCGGGAAGATGTCACCACTCCTGAGTCTTCAGTGAGGTGGACTTTCGCCTGCGGGCGGAGCGTCCCGTGGCTGCCGCACGAGGTGCCACAAAACCATGGGCTCGGTGGCTTCTGACAACGTGCGTTTGTCGCCTCACGGTCTGGAGGGCAGAGGTCGGTCGCGGCCACACGGAGCTACAGTCAGGGTGTGGGCAGGTTCCTGCGGGAGGCTCCGGGACGGAGCTGATTCCGGGCTTTCCCAACCGCTGGAGGTGCCCGTGGCCCCTGGCTCGCGGCCCCTCCTCCACCTTTCAAGCTGGACGCTGCCACCAGCCTTCACCACGCCGTCCCTCTGACTTTGGCCCTCCCCCTTACGAGGGCCTTGCGAGTCCCCAGGGCCCACCAGAATCATGCAGACTCTTACCTCTCATCTCCAAGTCCCTTTGCCACGTGAAGTCACGTAACCACAGGTCCCGGGGGTTAGCATGAGGACATTATTCAGCCGTCCACGGTGTATATGCAAAACCACACGGTGGCAACTTCAGCCTAGCAGCCCTGAGACTGGTCTCCTCTGGAGGGGAGGGGAGGGGACGGATTGGGAAAGGTATGGGGGGAACCGCAGGGGTCGGAGGAAAGGGATATTGAAAATGCTCCAGAGCAGCCCTGTCCAATTGCACGGTCTGTGATGTTGGAATGTTCTAGAACTATACTGCCTTACAGTACTTTCTGGGATGATGGAATGTTCCAGAGCTGCCCTGGTCCTATAGCACACACTACGGTGATGAGATGTTTTAGAACTAGGCTATCCCGTGGCACTTTCTGTGATGATGGAATGTTCTAGAACTGTGCTGTCCCATAGCACTTTCTGGGATGATGGAATGTTCCAGAGCTTCATTGGTCCTATAGCACATTCTGTGCTGGTGAAATGTTCTAGAACTGTGCTGTCCCATAGCACTTTCTGGGATGGTGGAATGTTCCAGAGCTTCA